GCAGCAGCCGCCCACGGGTCGTGCGGGGCCGCAGCAGGCTGCGAGGGGAGCGTGGGGCAGGCAGCCTCCGCCTCCAGAAAGGCCGCCTCCTCGGCCTTGAGCGCAGCGAATGCCGCCCTCTTGGCTTCCTCACGTTCAGCCTCCACATCTCGTGCACGGTCGCGGGACAGGCGCCCGCTGCGCCTGCGGCGGCGCCGCTCCCCTCTCCTGGATTTCTCGCGGGAAGACGAGGAGGAACCGCCCGAGGAGGGTGCACGGCCAGCAGCGCCAGCAGCACAGCCATCGCCCACATGCGCGCCATCCCGCGCAGGGCCCTTGGCTTCGAAGCTGGGAGCGATCGGGCCGACAGGAACCGGAAAGGCCTCCGTTTACCCACCGACCCGAGCACTGGCGAGGTGGACCAGAGATGATGCCAGACTTCAAGAAGTCTTGCCAGCCGCGGACTAGCGGTATCCGCTTGGTTCCCTGGGGAAACCTGCATCTTGAGCCAGAATGGCTACGGAGGAGGAGGAGGAGGAGGAGGAGGAGGAGGAGGAGGAGAAGGAGGAGCCTAGTGTTGAGGTGGGTGGCCCATCTCGGCCGCCCCAGTCTCATGCGTGCGTCTGCACACTCCGCGGCGTCTCCACGGCGCCCAGCCCACTCCGATTCCCCTCCCGTGCGCGCCTCCCGCTGCTTGGACTTTCCACCCGACCACTCGCCATCGCTCGGACGTCCATTCCATGTGTTTTTTTGTCGGTTTCGTGCGTGGTTTTCTCGCCAAATGGTCAAGGATGCTCCTCGATGGTCCTCGCCGAAGAAAAAATGCACACGTACGAGCGATGCCAAGATCAAGCGAGGACTGTTTGCCGCTCCAGGGGGTCCGCGCCAGACACCAGCTGCAGTCGCAGACCGACTGATGTATCAGAGAGTCTGCCCTTCCCGGCCCACCAGAACCTCAAGTGCTGTTTACTCCCTCCAGGGAGGCCGCGTTAGACCGTGGCAAGCATCGCTCCAGACTGTGCTGGTTAACCACCACGGGAAGCCGCACAAATCCGCGCCAAGCAATCAGAATACCAAGTTACTCATCGAAGGTAGCGCACCAGTCCCACCAGTGGCGGTTGCCCATCCACGGAAGCTGCGATAGACCGCGCCAGCCATAGAAACACACGTGTTATTTAGCAGGCGTCGCGTCGTGCCCAGTCTATTAGTCTATCAATACAGTTTGACCTTGCAAGGAGACCGCACCAGACCGCACCAGCTGTCGGATCCTGGTATTTATCAGGATCGTGCCCTCCCCACTCCGCCAGTCCCACCTATGCCGCTTGCCCCTCTAAGTTAGGCCATGCCAGAGCTCGCCAGAGCTCGCCAGCCATCGGAGCACCTGGTAATCTATCAAACATTGCGCCTTCCCCACTCCACCAGTCCCATCAATACCGCTTGAGCATCCAAGCAGGCCTGGCCATACCGAGCCAGCCAGTGGATCATCCTCTTGATTATCATGGAACGCGCCTTTCCCACTCAAGCTGTCGCAACAATGTTCGCCCCTCCAGGGGGGCCGCGCCAGACCGCTCCAGCCAATGGAGCACAGTGCTATTTATCTAGGGCCGAGCCCTTCCAGCTCAACAAGCCCCGCCAGTGCCGTTTGCCGCTCAAGGTTAGGCCGAGACAGACCGCGCCAGCCATCGGGGCACCCTGCTAGACCCAGCACCCTGAAGGGGTTCTCCCAGAACTCTCCCCGCTAATTCTTCTTTCCCACCTTCTCCTCCTCCTGATCCTCCTTCTCCGACCCCCTTCCTCCACCAACAATCGCAGTGCACGAGTTCCAGATTGCACACAACTCCGCACTCCGCATAGTCCCACCCGTCCTCCTCCAGCATCCCAGACCGCGCCAGCTATGCGGACACCCGGCTATTTATCAGAGCTCGTGCCCGTCCCACTCCAGCCCCACCAGTGCCGGTTGTCGCTCCAGGGAGGCCGCGCCAGACCGAGTAGGACACTCCGCCCTCGAGCGCGCGATCCGATGAGAACCATGACGTCGGGGACTCCGCTGGCATGGAGCACAATTTTTGTTGCCTGTCCTGGGCCCAAGACCGCCTCCCAGAGCCCCAAACAGAGAGAGGGGAGCACAGCCATGCAGACACACACACACACACACACACTGCCGGAGCTAGGGGGCCACACGCGAACCCCACCCACCCCCCGTCAGAAATCGTGGGGGGGAGGGGTAGGGTTCGCGTGTGGCCCCCTAGGAGCCCCGCGCGGAAAAAACGTTTGGCAGCGGCGCGGGGGATCCCGCTCCAGGGATCGTAGTCCGTCACCGCCGTTTGCCCCTCTAGAAAGGCCGCCAACACTGCGCCAGCCTTCGGAGTACACAGTTACTCTTCAGGGATCGTACCCTTCCCACTCCACCAGTCCTACCAGTACGGTTTGCCCCACCAGGAGGCTGCGCCAGACCACATCATGACTCGGAGTGCCCAGTACCTCTTCTTCCTGCCGGCCCCGGAGTTTAGCCGCCCTCGAGCGCGCGATACCCGCTGAGAACCATGACGTCGGGGACTCCGCGGGCATGGGGCACAGTTTTCGTGGACTGTCCTGGGCCCGAGACCAGCCGCCCAGAGCCCCAAACAGAGAGGGGAGCACAACCGGCGGCCTTTCCAGAGGGGCAAACGGCGGCGACGGACTACGATCCCTGGAGCGGGATCCCCCGCGCCGCTGCCAAAAACTGTTTTTTCGCGCGGGGCCCCTAGGGGGCCACACGCGAAACCTACCCCTCCCCCCCAGGATTTCAGAGGGTAGAGGGAAAAGAACTATGCACATGCACCGATTCTGGCCAGGCCCATCCTGAGCCCAGGATCGGTGCATACGCCCTCCTACCTTGGCCAGGAAGGCATATGCACCGATCCTGGGTCAAAAATGGGCCTTGCCAGGATCGGTGCATGTGCATAGTTCTCTTCGCCCGATGAGGGGGGCGGGGTGGGGTTCGCGTGTGGCCCCCTAGGAGAGCCCCGCGCGGCAACGTGTTGGCAGCGGCGCGGGGGGTCCCGCTCCTCCATGGGCGCGCGAAGACGCGCGCCCGGCTTGGCGCCAGAGAGGCGCCAAGCTGGAGAGGCCCCGGCGCAGAGCCGGGAACCCGCGCGGAGCTCCGAGCGACTATGCAGGGCAGTTTTTAATACACAGGATTCGTTTTTTTTTTTTTTTTTTTTTTTTTTTTTTTTCAAACAACAAAAAACATCGGATTTTATAATTCATGACTAATTTGTGAATCAATGTATGCATGAACTCATCGTTGTTGTCAATACTGAATCCCTGCATGGTCAACACATGATCCGCACGCGGAGCATGTACTGAAAGCGGCACTGCATGTAGAAGAGGGAAGAACCGCCATAAACAGAAGCTTTTGGCGCTCCGCGCGGAGCGCCAGAAGATCATGTTTGTGGAGTTCCTGTCTTCTGCGATAATGATTGTGCAGCTTGTGCCTTCTTCCGGCAGCCTCCGAAGCCCTAAACTTGCAACAGCACGGCGTCCTGATTCGTTCGAGCCGCCGGTCGTCGGGGCAGGAATGAGGGGCAACGTCAGGCGGGGGGCGGGCTCAGGGGGGAGACATTGACCTGGAATCGACGATGCATCGCCAGTGGGCTGGCGATAGGCTCCCGATCGCTGAATCCGAGCAGTGCTCGACGGTGCGAGGTTTATGTCGGGCCTGTCCCCCTACAGGGGGATTTTCGACGAAAAATAAAACATACCCCAAGAATGCTCCAGAAAGGTCAAAAAATACCCCCAAAATAATCCCCTGACTATTTTTTTTTGTTTTTTTTATTTTTTCACTATTTTGGGGGTATGTTTTATTTTTCGTCGACAAGCCCCCTGTAGGGGGACAGGCCCGACTTAATGCGAGCTATCAGGCCCCGATCAGCGATGAACGGACGGTTGGGGATCGGTGCGGCTCCACCTGAGAGCCGATGCCCCCCGACGGGTGCCCCTGAATCACTTGCCATCGCTCGGACGTCCCTTCCCTGTGCATTTTTCGGTTTCGTGCGTGTTTTTTTTTTTGCTCGATGGTCCGGGATGGTCAGTTTTTTTGCTTGTTTTTTTTTTTTTGCTCGATGGCTCTCGCCGAGAAACAAGGCACATGTCCGAGCGATGCCAGGCGAAGGAGAGCCTCCGAGGGGCGGGGTGCCCTTCCCGGGGGCGGCGGCCCAGCGCAGAGATTCAACAGACCTGCGCGGAACTCCGAAGGCTTCTGCGCATAGCATGCAACTTTCCCCTCTCGGCAACTGGGAGCAAAACGGCTGCCCCCAGTTGCTCGAGCCGCCGGTTCTCAAGGAGGAGCAAGGAAAAGCGGCACCAGCACCACCAGGGACCACCAGCGGGAGGAGCCAAGGGGGGTGGGGTCCAGACCACTAGCGGGAGGATCCCGGTGGGGTCCACCTGGTGGTGTGGTCCCCCCCTCTCGCTCGAGACGTCCCCCTAGCTCGGGAAGGAGACATCGTGGACCTCCTCGCTGGAGGTGGGCCCCCCTGGTGGTGGTGGTAGTGCTGGTGGTGGTGGTGGTGGTGGTGGTGGTGGTGGCGGTGGTGGTGGTGATGGCGGTGGTGGTGGTGGTGGTGGAGTCGCTTCTCCTTACCCGACGAGTCATCCCGAGAGACGGGATGCCCCTTGTGGTGGCGGGGGGCGGCGGGAGCGCTCCCCCTCGGGTAGAGGAAAAAGAACTATGCACATACACCGATTCTGGCCAGGCCCATCCTGAGCCCAGGATCGGTGCATACGCCCTCCCACCTTGGCCAGGAAGGCATATGCACCGATCCTGGGTCAAGGATGGGCCTTGCCAGGATCGGTGCATGTGCATAGTTCTCTTCGCCCGATCGGGGTGGGCTAGCAGGCCCCAATCGGCGATGGATGGGCGAGCGGGGGTCGATGCATCCCCCCCCTGAGCCGATTCCCAACTGACGTTGCCCCTGATGCCTCCTGCAGGGGGAGAGAGGAGATCCCCCTCTTCAAAACTCCCGCTTTCTGCGCGCCGCTGGTCCTCCGTGAAGCCCTTGGCGCCCGTGTCCGCCTGCCGGGGGCTACCAAGAATGGCCCCGACCCCGTCCTCGGAGAACGATCCGAGCCCCAAAACCGTGCGATCCCAATTTCCCGCCCCACTCTGCAGCCCCCCCTGCAATCCACTCTCGCCCCAACTACAGGCCGATACCTCTATTAACACCTGGGTATGAGATCCTTGCTTGGATGATGCAAAAACTCATTCAACATGGAGGCGCCGAGAAAAGAATACGATCCAACCAGTTCGGATTCCGCCCCGGCAGAGGCACGGCCCAGGCCATCAGCATCGCCCGGCGGATGTTCGAAGCAGCGCAAACAGCGCGAGAACCAAGTTTGATTGCAGTATTGTTGGACTGGTCCGAGGCGCTTGACTGGGTAAAACATGATGCACATTTGGACGCGATTCGTAGATTTGGCCTACATGTGGATATGCTGGACATGGAGGCGGCGATTTTTCCATGTAGACATTTCATACTGGAAGACCAAGCTGGGAACTCAAGCCTGCGGAAACAAGCAGCAAGAATTGCCCAAGGCTGTCCTCTTTCGCCTTACCGGTTCGTTGTCGTGCAGAACGTAATGTTTTTTTCGACGTTGACAAACGCATGGGCGGCTTCCACGCTGACATCCAGGAACCAGAATACTTGATATGCCGTGACCTCCGTTACGCAGACGATACCATGCTTGTGACGCCTGTGAGCAGCGATTCCGGGAAATTGCAAACGTTACTCGACAGTGTGATCGACGAAGGCAAGAGGTACGGTCTGGAACTGAATTGGGGCAAGACTGTATGTATGAGCGTGCACAATGATGGCGTGGTTTCCCCCCCGAATGGTACCCCACTGGCTGCGGTGGAGCAAGCAGTGTATCTTGGTGGCCTGTTGATCGTCAACTGCATCGCAAAGCCGGAAGTGACCAGGTGAATCGGTGAAGCCAAATCCGACTTTCAGAAATTGTGCAAGTGTTGCTCACACGCCAAAATCAGCCGCGCCAGAAACATACAATTGTATAAAACGATCGTTTTGCCAGCATTGCTGTATGCTTTGGAAGCGCTTTGGCTGCTGAAGGCAGACAAAGACCGTTTAGACAGCTTCCCCACGCAATGTTTAAGACGAGTTCTCAGAATTCCAAGCGCATATGTTTCTCGAATGTCTAATACAACGGTTCTTGAGCGAGCGGGGGAACACCCACTGAGCTCCACAATTCGCTGGCGCCAAATGGAGCTGTACAAGAAAATCGCAGCGTTGCCTGTAGACGAACCTCTTAGACTTTTACATTGCCAGCCTGGCGCCGACCAGCCCAAAAGATGGGCGCACCAGCGACGCAGAGGAAGGCCTAAACAGCAGTGGGCCCCCTGCATGTATAGTCTTCTGCCAACGCATTCGCTTTAAGTGTGGCGTTTCTGTTTTCCCACCCCTCTCCCTCACTTGTTCCTGCTCGCTGCCCGCCCCCTCCCCTCCTTCCCCCTCCGAAGTGAAAACGTACCATTCTCATTGTCCGCATTTCTCTGCCCGGTCCGAGGCCGGGGCTACTGTCGACGGTTTCCAGTCACACGCGTAACTCCTTCTTCGGTCACACGCATAACTTTTTATATTGCAAATGCGACGTCTGTGCACCAGGCTCGGCTGACTGACTGACTCTACAGCACCCCGAGATCCTGGCGTCGCAATTGTTTCACTCCTAGCGTTTTCGATCGGTTTCGGGCCACTGGGGCCCCACAGGACCATCACAGATCGGTGTCGCTCGACGGAATGCCGCGGAGAGATGGGGCCCACGGCTGCTGTCGTGATTGGTCGCGGCGTTCCAGTTTTGTTCGCGACGTCGGATCTCGAGGACCCCGGCTCCCCACCCCACTTTGGAGCAGCCCTGAGCCCCCCGCCTCCGCTGGAGAGACCCCGGGTGGCCCAGGTGGCCTCCAGAGCACTCGCGAGGCGCGACCACACACATTAAATGGAGCTGTGCTGCTTACCCCCCCCGGGAAGCCCGTCGCATCGCTGGCCTCTCGAGAGGGCTTGTCGGGCCGTTGGGCCCCTATAGGGGGGCTATGGACCGCACCGCGCCCCCAGCAAGGAACGGCTGGCCTGCGAAGCGGGGCGAAACCTCGGGGCCACCTTCATCACCCAACGGACGATACGATGCCATGATCCCCACCGTCCGCGGACCCGGGGCTCCGGGCCCAGGAGGCCGACATCGGGGCAGCATGCCGGAACTGACCAAACACCACACAGCGTCGGAGCTCAGCCGCCCCGATCCGCAACACGCAGCCCGCTGCGTGCCGGCACGGAGCTCAGCCCGGAGGTGGAGGGAGCAGGCTGGCGCGACACGTTCGCCCAAACGTGGGCCAGCACGGTGCGCCGGTACGCAGCGCGTTCACAACGGACGCCTCGAACACAGCACGTGGCCTTCCAAAAAACATGCGTCGCAGGGCAGCCAGGGCGGGGATTGCGCAGCAAACTCGGGGGCGCGCAAACATGTGTTAGTGATCCATGCGTGTGGCGCGCGGTCTACAAATCCACGGATCGGGGTAGGTGCCCTCCCCAAAACGCGGCCAGCGCCCGCCTCCTGCGGCGGCGGAGCTCCGTGCTCTCCCACGGAAAAACGGCCCGGGGACCCGTCGCTGATCCACGCCCCCTTGATCCACGTCTGCGATCGCCTGACAAACCATACCGCCGGAGAACTGGGCTCCAGATGGGCCGGTGCTGAGGATCAGGGAGCCCCCCTCCTCCCTCCTCCTCCTCCTGCTGCTCCTCCTGCTGCTCCTCCTCCTCCTCCTCCTCCTCCTCTTCCCTGCGATTCCCCCCGCGGACCAGGCCTGCGGCGGCGCCGCAGCGGCAAGCCGGGCGCCCTCGCCGCCGCTGGCCGGCGGCGGCGGCGCCGCGAGCTCTGGGCCCAGCCGCCTCTCGGCGTGCCGCTCCGCCTCGACCTTGGCCGCCAGCAGCGACTGCTCCACACGCAGCTGCTCCTGCAGGGTCAGCCAGCACCGAATCGGAGCGTCGAAGCGAATCGGCGGAGGAGGAGGAGGAGGAGGAGGAGGAAGAGGAGGAGGATTAGGAGGAGGAGGAGGAGGATGGAGGAGGAGGAGGAGGAGGAGGAGGAGGAGGAGGAGGAGGAGGAGGAGGAGGAGGCAGGAGGAGGAGGAGGAGGAGGAGGAGGAGGAGGAGGAGGAGGAGCAGGAGGGAGGAGGAGGAGAAGGAGGAGGAGGAGGAGGAGGGAGGAGGAGGAGGAGGAGGAGGAGGAGGAGGAGGAGGAGGAGGAGGTTGGGTCGGGCCGCATCGTCATGGAGTCGGGATCTTATCGGATCGGCTGCGCCAGGACGCAGTTCAGCGCCGTGCAGGCGTGGGGCCGAATCGCCTGCGCGCAAGGAGTGACTCTGGGCAAGCGTGGCCTTTGGTGCGTGGCTTTCGGGGGCCGCGGCGGGGCCAAACCCAAGCGCGCCCGCAACTGCTGGGGGGCACGGGGGAGACCCCTCAGGATCCGCACCGAGTGTCACTCTGGCGAAGGGTCACTCTTACATGTAGACCACCGAATCGGATCGAACGAACATCAGAATACGGAGACTCGGATGGGGCCGGCCGGAATCGGTACCGAATCGGGTCCATCGGATCGAAACGGGCGCGGTCCTGCCGCAGGTTCGCGAGCGCCCGCCGGGCCTCATTGATGCTGCCCGCCAGCGTCGCCCGCTCCGCACGGGCCTTCGCCACCTTCCGCTGCAGCTCGTGCAGTTCACGCTCGTTGGCCTGCATCCTTTGCCTTCGTGGGAGAACATGGATCGAGGATCGATCGAGGATCGAGGAGCGAGGATCGATCGAAGAGCAGGGGTCGATCGAGGATCACATCGAGGAACAAAGATGAATCCCCGCTTGATGAGCAAAGGTCGGGGGACAGAACTAGGATCGATGCGCCCCCGCCCCCCTCTCGAGGATCGAGGATCGATCGTGGGGCCCTCGTCGCCGCGGCTGGATTCGCCTCGAAATTCTGGTCGGAACGCACCCTGGCAGAGGTCCGGGGAGTAGCGGTGTCGGTATCTTTCGGCCTCCCCTAATGATGCCTGGTCCTGTCCACCAGCGCGTGCGACAACTCCGCGACAGGCGAGGGGATCACCTCCAGCAGCTTGTCTGAGGACGCCACCTGGGACAGGCGCTCCCTCACCAGCTCCTTCAGATTCAGGTGAAACTTCACCCGCGCGAGGAGCTCCCTGCGGTCGAATGGCTTGTGCACCCAGTCGTTGCACATGCGTCCAAGACCTTTCACCACCGCATTTGTGGACTTCCTGCTGGACACAATTATGACTGGCACCTCAAACACGTTGTAGAGCTTCCGGATGTCTGTGAGGGTGTCAACCCCGTTCATGCCCTCCTGCATCAGGTCGTCGAGTAAGACCAGGTCTGGCAGGACCTTCCCCGACCTGAAGTGCTCCAGGCACGAGTCTGCGTTCGACACGCAGACGAACCTGATCCCGTTCATCTCGAACCACGAGGCCAAGCTCTTCTGGGCCACCTGCTCGTCGTCCACGCTCAGAACCATCGGTGACTTGTCGGTCAGGCGCGGCTGCAGGTCGTCGACCGACGCCGACAGGCCCTCGGACCCGCGGTCGTCGCGCCGGCTTGCCGGTCGTTCCGCGCTTGCGTCGCTGTTCGCCTCGGACTCCGACAAGGCCGCCTCGGAGCCATCACCGATCGAGGCGTCGAGGTCCTCGCTGTCGGGATCGTCTGGTATCGACAGGCGCCGCTGGACCGCCGTCGGCGGGGCCGCGGCCACCGCGGTCGGCGGGGCCGCGACCGTCCCAGGGTTCTCCTGGCCCGCTGCGCCCCCGGGGTTCATCTCGAAAGGGAAGGACACGTGGAACTGCGAGCCCTTGCCCTTCTCGCTGTCGACGGTGAGGGTCCCGCCGTGCTTGATCGCCACTTCCCGGCAGATGGAGAGGCCGAGACCGAGCCCCTCGAAGTGCCGCGTCGAGGATTGGTCCTCCTGCTCGAAAGGCTGGAAGATGCGCTCGAGCTTCTCCGCTGCAATCCCGATGCCCGTGTCCTCAACCGTGACGGTTACAGTCTCGGCGACGTGGTCCGCGGTGGCGAAGACTCGGACGTGCCCCTGCTCACGAGCGGCGAACGTATCCATATCCACGTCCTCGCGGTCTGAACTCCTGGGCGCGACCCTGCGGATACGCGGTCGCACGGATGTGTCCGCGCGGGGCATCCGCGAAAAAACGCCCCGTGTCTTCGGGGTCGCGGCCCGGGAGCCCGGCTCGCGAGGCCGTGGATGCGGATAGGTGTGTTCCGCCCACGACCTTCGCCGTGAACTTCAGGGCATTGGTCACCAGATTGTAAACGAGCTGCGTGCACCTGTAGGGATCGGCAGTGATCACAGGAAGCTCCGTCACGTGATTCATCAAGGTAACGCCCTCCTTGACCAGCTTCTTGCCATGCCTGTCAGCCGAGTTCTGGCAGAGGACGACGACCTCCTCCACGATCTTCTCCAGGTACACGTTCTCGCAAGAGAGCCTCATCTTCCTGTCTTGCACGAGTGACCCCGCGTCCATGATGTTGTTCACCATGTCCAGAAGCCTGCTAGCGCAGTTGTGTATGAGGCTCAGCTGCTTGTGGAAGCTGGATCCCTCAACTGCATTCTCCACCAAACCGCTGCTGAGCCCCATGATGCCGTTCAGGGGCGACCTCAACTCGTGGCTGACCACCGCCATAAAGGCGGCCTTCCGTTGCTCCATCTCCCGGATACTCGTGATGTCTTGGCCCACGCAGATCACACCGATGATATCGCCCTGTGGGTCGATGCGAGGGGTGGCATTCAGGAGAAGGGAAACGCACTTCTGATTGTCTGGGTCCTTCGGCGCGAGCTCCACCTCGAAGGTCTCCGTGGGGTTTCCCTTCGAGGCGTCGCGGAGCACGTCCAGCCACACCCCCTGGCTCTTCTCTGCGATGTAGTTTGTGAGCTTCTTGCCTTGGGTCTCCGATCTAACGAAGCCAGATTTCACTGCAACCCAGTTGTTCCACTCTGTAACACACGCGCTCTCGTCAACCCCAAATATTGGTGCGTTTGCTGTGTTGATGAGCCTGGAGTAGTCATCCGCAACACGCTGCGCATTATCACGATGCTTTTTCATCTCCGTTACGTCCTGTCCGACACAAACTACCCCGATGATTTCGTGCTCTTGGCCCCAGCGTGGCGTCGCGCTCAACAGAACGTCTCGCTGCGCTCCTTCCCGCGTGTAGAAAGTCAACTCGAAATTCTTGACCTCGTCATTCGCAAGGGCCCGGTTGAGCACGGTACGGACAGACTTACGGTTTACTTCGTGTATGAACTTGCGCACCAGATGCTGGCCCATAGCGTCAGCCTTGGGGTAACCGAGGATTTCCTCGCACTTCCGATTCCACTCCGTGACCTTGCACTCCTTGTTCACAGCAAAGATAGGAGCATTCGCTGTCTCGATGAGACGCGACAGGTCGTCAGCAACACGCTCCATATGGGCAGTTACCGCCTTGATTTTCGTGATGTCCTGGCCGATGCTGATAACTCCAGTAACTTTGCCCTCGGGGCCACGTCTAGTAGCAGCGTTCAACAAGATCTCACGCCTGCTGCCGCTCTTCGAAACGATGGAGAACTCGTAGTTGTCCGTCTCTGTACCGTCCATGGCCTGTTTCAGCACACGCCCAACCTGTTCTTGGTACTCCTTCATGATGAAATCCTCGATCAACGGCTTCCCTAGCATCTCCTCCTTGCCGAACTCCGTGATCTCTGCCATCTTCCGGTTCCACTCCGTCACTCGGCCTTGCGTGTCGATCCCCAAGATGGGCGCGTTAGCGTGGTCGATCGTCCGCCGCAAGTCCTCTGCCACTGCGGTGACCTCGTCGCGGCTGGCAGCGATCTCTTCCATGGCCTGATGGAGATTTGTGATGTCCTGGCCAACCCCGACCATGCCAATGATGCTGCCCCACTGATCGGTCCGAGACGCCGCGTTCAGCGACAGCAGCACCTGGCTGCCATCGCGCGCAATGAGGGGGAACTCAACCTGCGAGGCGTCGATTCCGCGGCAAGCGTTGCGGATGGCCACTGAGACCGCTGGCTGGTACTCCGCGCGGATGAAAGTTTCAACCAATTCCTTTCCCAATGCTTCCTCTTTACTGTAGCCTGATAGCTCAGCCGCTTTGTCATTCCATTCATTAACCTGCCCATGTATATTCACACCTATGATTGGAGCGTTCGCGCTTCGGATCACCCGCTGGAAATCTTCGGCGATAAATTTCTGCTGCGCGGCCATCTGCTTCATCTCGGTGATGTCCGTCCCGACGCAGATCACGCCCTCCATATCACCCGTTGCGCCCCGCAAAGCGGTGAAGTTCATCGTGAGCTCCCTCTGGTCGCCGTCCTTGGTGGTCAACGGGAACTCGAGGACGGACGACTCCTGTCCACCGAGCGCTCGCAGGAGGGCGAAGGACACGCTGGGTCGTTTATCGGGCGACACCAGAGTGTTCACCAGACTCTTTCCCAATATCTCCTCTTTCGAGAAGCCGGAGAGCTGTGCTGCCTTGAAGTTGAACTCGTTTACCAGGCACTGCACGTTGACGCCAATGATTGGCGCATTGGCGTAGTCTACTGTGCACCGCAGATTGCCAGCCACGCGCTCCAGCTCTTTCCGTTGGGCGTTCACTTCAGTAACGTCCTGGCCCACTCCAAAAACCCCAGTGATTTCGCCATAGTACCCTATTCGAGGTGTCGCGTTGATGGAGAGGTCTCTTACTTGCCCGTTGTTCGTGTACAGCTGGAACTCGAAATTGGCGATGTCCTCGCCTGACATAGCTCGTTTGAAAACTTCTTGGACTGAATCTTGCTGGTCCACGTGGATAAAAGTTTGGATCATTGGCTTGCCGAGGACGCCCTGCTTCTCAAACCCAGGTATCTTGTAGAACATGTGGTTCCACTCGGTGACCAGGCCGCGGGTATCAATTCCAAAAATCCGCCACAACGCTTGCAGTCGAAGACCTGCATTCAGCCACTACTACAGTTTTCTAGGCAACTGATCTGCCACGAAGATCCCAGCAAACCGACGCCCAACACACGATGCCATGCGACAGCATCTAAGCCCCTAAGCAAGCCGACACCAGGAGACGCTCACGTGCAGGACCGAGTCGGGGAGATCACTGGCCGATGCCCGAACTCGGCATTGCGCATCCGACACAACGCCCAGACCGCCGAGGACTCCGCCTGTTCGGGGTCGCCTGCCCCCGGGCCCCGTGGATCCCTCGAGGCCGTCCCAGGCCAGAGTCAAAAGACGTTGGCCAGGCGCGAGGCCCAGAAGCGGCGTCCCGACCCTGGAACTCCTCCCGCGCAGCTGTTCCGCCAAATGGAACATGGGGTTATCGATATCACTGTCACGCCTCCGACTCACTCATGCCTTCTTCCCACATCCCCCGTTCCCAAGGATTACCCAGCTTCGTTCTCACACACGGGCTCAGCCACATACAGACCCACTGACATTAAGACCCACTTAAGCTCACTCACGGCCAGGCTCGCCAGAATTGCCCACACTCAGACCCACGCGCACTCAGACCACTCATGCTCAGACGACTCGGTATCAGACTCACTCAGACTCAGAATCGCTCACACTCAGACCCACTCAATTCAAGAGTGAATCGTACTTCAATTCGCACTATGACTCAGGCATGCCCCGACTCCCGATGTTCAGACTCACTCATGTTCAAAAATCTTCGCAACCAGACACCTCCATTATCAGACTCACTCATGCTGAGACCCGCTCGAACTCCGACTCGCTCCATCGCAGACTCCCCGTATCCGAAGCATGGGGCTCTGGCTCACCAAGCAGAGCTTGTACTTGGGGCTTCTTGCTTCTCTCGTGAAGACCTGGACCTCTGTGTCGCCCCGAAGCACAAGAGGAGGAGGAGCGGGGGGAGGAGGAGGAGGAGGAGGGAGGAGGAGGAGGAGGAGGACGAGGAGGACGAGGAGGAGGAGGAGGAGGAGGAGGAGGAGGAGGAGGAGGAGGAGGAGGAGGAGAGAGGAGGGGAGGAGGAGGAGGAGGAGGAGGAGGAGGAGGAGGAGGAGAGGGAGGAGGAGGAGGAGGAGGAGGAGGAGGAGGAGGAGGAGGAGGAGGTGGAGGAGGAGGAGGAGGAGGAGGAGGAGGAGGAGGAGGAGGAGCTGGTGGCCGCCCATCGCCGCCGCGCGTCGCCGCACCATCTCGGCCCGTGTGTCGGTCCGGCCGGCTGGTGGCCGCCCCGCCAACGCCCGTCGCCGCCGCCCGCCGCCGCAACGTCTGTGCCCGTGCGTCGGACCGGCCGGCTCACAGCCGCCCGTCGCCGCCGCCCGTCGCCGCTCGCAAAGTACAGTCGGGGCGTTGACCTAAGGAACCCTGAATGAGGAACGGCGCCCCTTTTTTCCATGAGTGAAACTTCGAGTTCCTAAGGAACGCGGAGCCCCTCCCCAACGAAAAGGGTTCCTTCTTCAGGGCCCCGACTGTAGCTGCCATGGGAGTCAGCGGCGCGCAGAGGGGGGGATAAGGGGGAGGGGGGCAAGGCTTCTCAGAAGGGGGCTGCTTCTCAGAAGGCGCTGGCCTCACACGTGTAGATCAGACCCGCGCCCTCCAAGAACGCAGGGGTGCTTCTGAGAAGCCTTCCCCCCTCACCCCACCCCCCTCTGCGCGTAGCCGAGTTAGTCACATCTTCTCATTGTGCTGCGATTGCACCATACAGATTGCACAGGCTCGCCCGTGAAGCCGCGAGCAGCTTGCTAAGACGCATGCATTTTGCAACCGATGTCCATCATCGTCTGATCCCCAGATCTTGGGGGGGGAGCGCTCGAGCGAGAGGCCGGCCACGTCTGCAATGGAGACATTCTGTGCACTCCCGAGCCTTGGGAAGTTTCGGGGGGGAGCAGGAGCTCCTAGGGAACAAAGTGCAGTGGCGCTGTCACAAGATGGTGCAAGTAGAAATGATTTGGATATTTCCTCCTCTCCTTCCTTCCCTCCCCCCTCCCTCTCTCCTTCCCCTCTCTCTCCGCGGATTGCCGGCAGGTCAATTCATCGCCTACCATTCGGGACAAAAAGTCGACCAACGGTCTGCAACCGAGCCGCTTGCAGCGCAATCCATTACCTCAACTATTTTTGCATGTGCCTAGATACGCTGTCACCTGCCGCAATGTTCTTGCCATGCACCGTCTGCGCGCGGCTTTTGTCTGTCCGTCCTGGAATGCTACAACTTACATAAAATTCTGCCCCATCATTCATATTCATACGAATTCATACCATACCCTCGCGTCCAAGATCGCACCCACTCATCCCTGTCAAACCTGGTCGGACAAGAACGGGAAGCGCCACTTTACCCCAATGCGCTCATTGTGCGAAGAAGAAGAAGAAACAGAAGGCGAGGGCGACGAGGAGGCGATGACGACGAACGGCGTGGAGAACGTGAGGATAGCGAGGAGGAGCATGAGGACAGCGAGGAGGAAGAGAAGCGCAAGGACAAGGACGAAGAGAACGAGAGCGAGTACGAGGAACAATGCGGAGGACGATGACGACGACGATAACGACGACGACGACGACGGAGGACGGTAAGAGGCAATTGAAGGAGGATGTCGAATCAGGAGAGGGTCCTGATGACCCTATTGGGCTACCCTGGGGGCTCCTGGCGCCACGCGGGGTTCTCTTGGGGCCTGTTGGGGGCTTCTTGGTGGCCTCTTGGGTCCTCTTGTGGGCTTCTGGGATTTTCTTAGGCTGTCTGGGCGCGTCGTGGGGTTCCTTGGGAACTTCTTGGGCCGTCTCGGCGCCATCTTGAGCCGTGTTGGAGCTTTCTTGGGCTGTGTGGGTGCCCTCCAGGGGCGCTCACGGGAGTCTCTTGGGGCCCGTCTTGGGCCGTCTTGGGGTTCTTGTGAGCTGCCTGGGTGCATCCTGGAGCGCTCTTGGGGGTCTCTTGGGCTCCTCTTGGGGCGCTTTTGGGCGCTCTTGCCATCCGGGGCGTCTTTTGCGCCTCCTCTGGGCCGTTCGAAAGCCTTCCGAGAGCGATTCTAACACGATGTCGATTCGGAATCCCCTTCCGTGGCCAATTGTTTGAGGATGTCTCAAGCGAAACGGCCATTTTTCAGAAACCATTCGGTACAAGAACGGGAACCGCCGCTTCTCGGAGCATGCGCGCGCACGCGCGCATGGACTTGCAACCCACGCGCATGCATGCACACAAATGCAGTCGCTGGGCTCCCCCTAAATGCCCAGATGGTCGCCGCTGGTAGCTCGCATTTAGTGGTTGCCTGCGGTTACGTTGGTCAGGTGTTGCGCGTGGCCAATGCTTGTGTGTGCGTATGTGGATGTGCATGTGTGTGCGTGTGTGTGCCTGTGTGTGCCTGTTTGCGTCGTGTGTGTGTGTTGTGTGTGGTGTGTGTGTGTGTGTGTTGTGTTGTGTGTGTGTGTGTTGTGTTGTGGTGTGCTGTGCTGTGATGTGCTGTGCTGAGTTGTGTTGCGTTGTGTTGTGTTGTATTGTGTTGTGTTGTATTGTGTTGTGTTGTGTTGTGTTGCGTTGTGTTGTGTTGTGTTGTGTTGTGTTGTGTTGTGTTGTGTTGTGTTGTGTTGTATTGTGTTGTGTTGTGTTGTGTTGTGCTGTGCTGTGTTGTGTTGTGTTGTGTTGTGTTGTGTGTGCGTGCGGCTGTGTGCGTGTGTGCGCGTGTGTGCGCGTGTGTGCGCGTGCGTGTGCAGGGTGTGTGCCACAGGGGCGGAGGGAGGGGGTGCACGGTGTGCGTGCGGGGCGTGTGCCTGGCGGGCGGGCGGGGGGGGTGTACGGTGCGTGCACGGAGCGTGTGCCTGGCGGGCGGGCTGGAGGGGCGCAGGGTGTGCGTACGTTTTGTGTTTAGCGTAAGTGGTGTATATTTACGTGTACGCTCTATATTGACATTCATGCACTGGGAGCGTGTTGTGCTCCTCCTGCTCCTCCTCCTCCTCCTCCACCAACTCCTCCTCCAACTCCTCCTCTTCCCTACTCCTCCTCCTCCTCCTCCTCCTTTTTCTCTTCCTGCTCCTCCTCCTCCTCCTCCGACCTACTACTCATCGCCCTCGTCCTCATCCTCGTGGTTTCGAAGATGTCTCGAGCGCGAGCCCCATTTTGAATAGAAGACGTCTTGAAGCAGGTCGTCCATCATCCCATTGTTTCGAGGATGTCTCGAGCGAGAGCCTCATTGTTAAGATTTCGACGAATTCGCCAGATCCCTGGAGATCTCATTTTCTGAAGATGTCTAGAGCGGGAACCTCATGTCTAGCATAACGCATCTTAAACCACGTCCTTGAAGATCTCACTTTTTCGAGGACTTCTCTTGCGAAACGGCCGCATTGGGGACCCGTTCTGGACAAGAACAGGAAGCGCCGCTTCTCGGAGCTTGCGCGCGCACGCGCGCATGGACTTGCAACCCACGCGCATGCATGCACATAAATGCAGTCGCTGGGCTCCCCCAAATGCCCAGATGGTCGCCGTTGGTAGCTCGTAGTCAGTGGTAACCTGCGGTTGCGTTGGTCAGGTGTTGCGCGTGGCCTATGCTTGTGTGTGTGCGTATGTGCATGTGCATGCGTGTGCGTGTGTGCCTGTTTGTGCCTGTGTGTGCGGCTGTGTGCGCGTGTGCGTGTGTGTGCGCGTGCGTGTGCAGGGTGTGTGCCATAGGGGCGGAAGGAGGGGGTGCACGGTGTGCGTACGGGGAGTGCGCCTGGCAGGCGGGCGGGAGGGGTGTACGGTGCGCGCACGGGGCGTGTGTCTGGCGGGCGGGCGGGAAGGGCGCAGGGTGTGCGTACGCTTTGTGTTTCGTGTAAGTGGTGCATGTTTGCGCGGTGTATGCTTTCTCTCTCTCTCTCTCTCTCTCTCTCTCTCTCTATATATATATATATAGATATGGACATTCATGCACTGGGAGCGTGTTGTGTTCCTCCTCCTCCTGCTGCTCCTCCTCCTCCTCCTCCTCATCCTGCTCCTCCTCATCCTCCTCCTCGTCCCCCAACTCCTCCTCTTCCTCGTCCTCATCCTTGTGGTTTCGAGGATGTCTCGAGCGCGAGCCCCATTTTGAATAGAAAACGTCTTGAAGCAGGTCGTCCATCATGCCATTGTTTCGAGGATGTCTCGAGCGAGAGCCTCATTGTTAAGATTTCGACGAATTCGCCAGATCCCTGGATATCTCATTGTTTCTAAGGCTGTCTCGAGCGGGAGCCTCATGTGTGACATTAAGCGTCTTAAACAGCGTCCTTGAATCTTCCACTTGTTCGAAGATATCTCGAGCGAAACGGCCGTATTGGAGAAACCGTTCTGGACAAGAACGGGAAGCGTCGCGTTTGCACACTAGGTGTGTGAAATATACTCTGTTGTGTTGGTCTGCCGCGCAGTTCTGTCGTGATGTGCGCGCGTTTGCGCGTGCGTGCGTCGGGTATGTGCGTGTGCGTCCGTGCGAGGTGGTCGGCAGCACTGCTCTACTATGCCGTGTTGGTCTAGCGTGCTCCTGCGGTTTGCGTTAACGTATGTTGCCTGTGGGCGTGTGCGAGCGCGTGCGTGTATGTGCGTGTGCCTATGTGCGTGCGGCTGCTTGCAGCTGTGTGCATGCGTGCGCGCGTGTGTGCAGGGAGTGTGCTGGGCGGGCGGGACGGGGCGGGCGGGGCGCGAGACATGGCCGTTCGAATCGTAGCGGCGTGGTCGTTTGAACCTGGCGTGGCAGGCTGAACCGAGGCGTGGCCGTCTGAACCGGGCATCGCCACACGTCGTAGCTGCTTGAACCGGGGCACGAAGCATGGTTGTTCGAATTGTAGGGGCCTCGGAGTTCAATCAAGGCGTGGTGTTTTGAACCGAAGCGTGGCCGCTTGAAGCGGGCATCGCCGCGGCGCGGGGCCATTGAAACTGCGGCGCAAAACATGCCTGTTTGGACTGGAGCGGCGTGGCCGTTTGAACTAGTCGACGGCTTTGAACCGAGACGAGGCGTGCACGTATCTTACATTTGTGTGTGTGCGTGCGTGCGTGTGTGTGTGTGTGTGTGTTCGGTTGCAAGATGTGTCACCTCGTTTTGCGATTGTTGTTGGCACGCGGGGGTCGGGCGGACAATCGCGAAGCACCGCACTGCTTGCTTTTCCCGCACAAACAGTATGGCTTGAGCCATCACGGTTGCAGTGATGGCACGCACAACAAGACAGACGTGGGAGAAACGGAAAGACACACAGGCAGGTAGAAAGGGCATGGATAGAAGGTAGGCAAGGAGCATGAGCTGGATCATGTGCCAACAGCTCCCCAAAATTATTGTCGACCTGACTGTCCGTGAAGCTTGAGTCGGGCGTCTCTCGCAGCAAGGTAGCGCTTGCTGGCCTCCTTGCTGCGTTGCTGCTTGACGCCCTCAGCAGCGAGAGCACTGCGCTCCTCCTCTACGTCACTGAGGACCATCGTGCCAGTCCTCAGCAGGTGAGCGAGTGCCTCAGACCCCTTGGCCACATCTGCCTTTGTCATGATGTCTGCGGGATTCATAAGGTGAGGCGCCCACTTGGCACAGGAAGTGCGAGCTGTGAAAGAATCCCTGACGATGGCTAGGTCCACCGAGGTGCGTCGGTCCTCCTTGCGACCGGCGCAGTTCTTGGAAAGAGTATCGGAAATCGACTTAGCATCCAGAGCGTGTGCTCCGGAAAACGGATTCTGCAGCTCACAGGAGCTGCGCAGGACAGAAACAAACGGGCCCACGCTCTGACGCCAATCGCTCGATGGTTCTTCACCGAACATGGCATTGCGAATGATCAATTGTATCCACTCGGCCTCGGCAACTGCTTGACACAGTGAATGGGCTTCTCCTGCAAGAGAGGAGTTGGCTGCACGCTTCATCCGTGCAGACCTCCAGGACAACACTGAAACACGAGTGGGCACTCCTGTGGCTAATTGGGGATTGGCGATGCCAGCGAGCCAAGCGTTCTGGACCGAACCCCCTGTACCGATCCCAGCGGCGTCGCTGGCAGTCACGGCCACCACGTGGCGTAGATCGTGCCTCCAAGCTGTGATATACTGGGCTGCCGTATCCCTCATGAGTTGCACTGCCTTGTTATGAAGCAGTACGTCCTCGATGGTTGCATTGTTCAGGTTGCTCGCCAGAATTGAAGCGGTGCCTGAGATCTCTGGGCGGGACCCCTTGGCCACCCAGTTCAGTCGGTAGACTCCCGAGCGGAGAAGTGTGAGCTCGGCCGGTGTCAGAGGGCTCAGACGCTGAGACCTTCGTCCACGGTCGAGTGGAACGGCCTTGAGCTTCTCTAGGATGTACTTCTCCTGGTCGATGCGAATGCGGTGGCGCTCCTTGCGGACTCGCCTGCCCGCGAACTCTGCCTCGTCACCTCGCCACTTGCCGAAGGTAAATCGACTCTGGAGGCTATCATGCAGCCACTTGGTGAGGCTGCGAGTAGATCCAATCCACAGGTCGTCAACTTCGATCAATATATGTGCCACCAGCTGTCCCTTGTCGCGCTTGGTCCAGTAGCAGGGCTCCAGAAGCAACTTGCGGAAGCCAAGCTCGGACAGGTAAGTAGTCAGAGCCACGTGCCACTCCCAGGGTGCGTCGTCCAAACCGCACACTGCAACCTTGAGTCCATCAAGCAGCACTCTGGGACATGTATTCCAGCAAGTCCCTCACCGGGAGCCACATATATGGGGCCCCCTGAGCGGCGCAATGGACGAGACTGACTGAAGGCGTTCTTGCAGTCGACGATGGCCTGATCCATATCGCAGGACAACAGAACTGCCGCGAATAGCATCATCGACTCAGACTGGGGCGTTTGTGAGTAGGTGATCAGCTGCTCGGTGTCTGGGTCTCGGAAGCCGTGGACACACCATATGCTCTTGGCCATCTTGGCACTGAACGTGCCCTCCTGATTCTTCCATCGTCGGACCATCCTCGAAGAGAGGACACGGTCCGGCTTGGTCCTGATCACGTGCTGGGACTCGGCGAGAGATAGTACCCTGAGCACCCCTGGTCGGTTCGACACCTCCCACTCGGCACCGTCGGAGGCCCTGAACTGCTCACGTTCCTCGGGATTCAGATGACTCAGCTTGATCTCCCCGCCCTTGGAGGTCAGTAGATTCCAGCTGCCAACGCAGTCGTCCGAGCCAGTAAACACTAGGTCCTCGGCTCCGTTGGCATACTCTTGAGCACTGCCGCTCCAACCCTGCTCCTGGAACCAGGTCTCGAAGGTCTCGCAGTAGGCACTCAGCATCTCCTCGTCGTTCACTGTCGGTGTGTCGTCGGCCGTCGCGCCCTGACTCCTGGTCTGAGCCCAGCGGCCCCACTCCTCGATGTGTTGTCGAGCCTGTCCCGAGGCGTGGGGTAAGAGCTCGACAGGAGTGGGCAAGGCGGCGCTGCGGAACTGCTCTGACGACAGAGGCCCGTGCGAGCCAGAGCTGATGTCCTCGGGTCGAATGGCTGGCTCTACTGACATGGGCACGCTCTGAGTTTGGCTCGCCGAGCCTGGGGCCCAGCTGTCTCGCTCCAGCCTGAGACGCTTCGCCTCCGAGTCCAAACTGCCGGCGTCGGAGGGGGCTGGAGAAATCTCTGAGGCCTTGCGAGACGATCCGTCCGAATTGCCTGGAGGTACTGGCTCGGCGGCTGGCTCGGAGCCTTGGCGAGACCAGTCTGCTCCTGCGCTGCTGGCTGGAGTCGATGTCGCAGGTACTGTCGCGGCGGCCGAGTCCGGTAGCTCAGCTCGCTGAGGGGCGACGTCCTCCTCGGGCACTGAGATCAGTCTCGACGCGGGCCCAGGAGCCCAGACGAGACGTCGCGCACCCGAGGATCGAACAGCAGTCGGCTGAGAGCCTGCTGCTGGCAGACCAGCTGCAGCAGCTGAGCCAGGGTCGGCTACGGAAGAGGCAGGTGAGAATGTCCTGGGCATGACGCTCCTGGTGCACTCTGCGGTGTCTGAGTCCTCTCGGGGACGGAATTCTGCCAGTGGTTCCCGGGGTACCAGCCGAAGAGTGGATGGAGATGCTGACCCCGAAGCTTCTGGAGAGCCTCTGAATGTCTCTGGAGGGCCAGCTGCAGCTTCGGGACCCGACTGAAGACCTCCCTGAGTGTCCGCTATAAGGTTCCCCAAGAGCTCCAGGAGGAGGAGGGCCCTCTTGAGACACGTCTACGGCGCTACCTGTGATCCCCTTGTCGAACCCCTTGGAGAGCACCGAGCGATGCGCCGAAGACTGTACCAGTTCAGCCCCCAGAGACTCCGACTGCGTAGCAGGTCGTACTTGTCCACGGCTGCATTTCCAGAGTTTGCTCCTCATCCCAACCCATGCTGTGGTATTGTGGTGGTAGATGACGGACCCAGGCCGTACCCATCGACCCCGCTGAAGCCCGAAAGGCTTCTTCCCGGACGAGGGAGCCCTGCGCCAAACATGCACCCAATCTCCTGGCTGGTAGGTACGGTCACGATGCCATTCGGATCGAAGAGCGAGACTGAGCTTGCTGCGGGCGCCCCCTTCCATGGCCAGTTCCCTGGCCCCCGTGCGAATGGCATGTTGATGACGAAAAGAGGCTGCAACACTGTCCATGTCGCCGCTTGCCTCGGACAGATCATGCAATCCGATGTGGTCTAGAGGGTCCTCTGACAATAGCTCATGAGGCAATCTGGGATTCTGGCCGAATACTAACTGCAAGGGAGAGTCGCCGCCTGTGTTGAGGAACCGATTGCGCCAGGCAGTGAGCTCGCAGGCGGCCTGTTCCAGGTCGCTCGGGCTGTCCAGCAGCACTTCTTCGACGATGCGCTGAAGACGTTCCTTGAGCCATTGGCCTGCACGCTCCGTCTTGCCATTCTGCCTGGGACACTCGGCATCCGTGACATGATGAAAAGAGCCTGCCTGCTCTGCAAAGCGGTCAAACTCAGCCTCGAACTCAGCACCACCGTCAGAGATTATCACCTCTGGAGGTCCATAGTGGCGCAGCCATCCCTTCGCAAAGACCTGCCAAACCAGCCCTGGTTGAGAGCAGCGACCGACACCCACTAAACCAGTCCACTGCAACGACGTTCCTAGACACACAGCGTTGAGAAACGTGTAGATTTGTTGACGATACGTGACATAAAACAAGTCGATCCCGATGATTTTATTGAAGGCGTATGTGCGTGGTACACATGTCCTGCGCTGAGGTATCGAGCGCGCCGCACTCGCACATGCTTGACACTCAAAGTGCTTCTGAATCTACTGCAGTACCTCAGGACGAGCATGAGCACTGCGCATGATACGAAGAAGGTCTCGATTGGTAAGATGACCTAGATTGATGTGCGCCTTCTCTACCATCTTCATCTGCTCCTGAGTGCGTACGGTCTCCACGACGTCTGGGCTCTCTTCGCCTTCCGCCTCTTCCTGTGCTCCTTCCTCCTCTTCCGCCGAGTAGGTAGTCCAGGAAGCCCCTAGGTCCGTGTCGTCCAGAACAGTACTCCCGAGGAAAGAGGAAGTCTCGACGAGGCTGCACTCTCTCTCCACTCGTGAAGATCTCAAGACAGCACTGGAGACGGCTCGGCAGAACTTGTCGGGGTAAACCGCGGCCCTGGAGGTAGCCCACCCCCCAGACAGCACGACATGTTTGTGATCCCCCTTGCACTGTTTCCTGGACAGGGTCTGCAGCAGGACCTGGTCGTTCGTTAGAATCGTGGTAGGCTTCTCCGAGAGGCCCTCACCCCTGATACATAGACCGAACCTACACATGTCGAAAGACACCTCCTGGACCCCGGCCTGGCTGCGAAGCCACTGTGTACTGGACAGGCGAAGGGAATGAGCACTTCTGGGTTGCTCTAGAGCACACCGGCGTCCCTCGGCAACCTGCTTGGCAGCGACCTCCAGAGCAAACTCCCGAAGTGCCATGGCCTCAGCACGCTTGATGTCTAGGGTCTTAGGGTCCTGGCGGTCCTCGTTAGGGCCCATAAGCAAACTGAACTCCGTGCAAGGTGGACTGAGGAATATAAACCACGGCCTCCAGAGGTCAATCAGGCACCTGGCCAGCTTACGATGTTCAGAAAGTCGAAAGTCCCAGCCTGTTTGGATGTCCATACTGCCCCCAGTTGGTACCTTGCCCTGTCGAGCCACGAGTGGCCCGATCCGAGGAAGGGGAATACAGCTCGATACAGTCAAACAAACAGGGTTTCTTAGAGTTGGATGCGGGCCCCGATCTCGCGTTGTAGAGCTCGAGGAGGCCCCGTCTGAGGTGCTGGAGGGAACCGTTGCCTACCGGTCTATCGTTCAGGCCTCTACGCAGGCCAGCGCGTCGTCTGTGGGGTCCTCGCGTCCCCAGAAACAGCCAGCAGGTACGTATACAGTGTGATCCCAAGATGGCCCCGTGGTAGGAGATGATGATGGCATTGACATCTGGGTCTCTTGTGATGGTGTTGAATGTGTCATTGACTGTAAAGAAGTAGCCGAGGTAGTGGAAAGTGCCATGGTAGATGAATGAGATGGTGATCTCTGTGCTAAAGATGAAGATGCGGAAGGAGTCGTAGTCGAGGATGAGGACATTATCGTGGAGGAGGTAGGAGATGATGATGGACGGCACAGCTCCTTCTCACCCACTCTTTCCAACACACAAGTCTCCAGAGCTGCGTCGCAGCCTTGCACGCCTGTAAGACGCTGTCCCACAGCCCACGGCGGTGGCAGGCGGGCTGAGGCAGCTCGACCCAGCAGAAACCTGAGCGTCCGCTCAGACGCTCGAGCTCCTCGGAGGTGTCGGTGGTGGCCCGGCTCAGGGAGAGCCTGACCTTGGCTCGGAGCCGATCAGCTCGAACTCGCCCTGGGTGGGCTCGGGGCCCGCGGGAGTCGCCACTGCCGCAGCCGTCGCGTTCATCGGCGCATCCTCGAGAGCCGGGGCGCTGGTCAAGACCTCCAGACGGGAGTTCACCGATCGCATCTCGTCGACCAGAGGCTGCATGGTGCTGGACACGCTCTGGTTGTGAGCCTGCAACGTCGTCTCCAGGGCGCTCAGCATACTGGCGGACATGCTGGCTGACATCGTCTGAACTGCCTCGTCATCGACGCGGCCCAGGCCGGTGGGGGAGCACTCGACCGGCTGCTCCACAGCTCCTCGCCCTGGCGGGATGAGCTGGCCGCCCCTGGAGTGGGTCTGGGCCCCGCTGGAGCTGGACGCCGAGCGGGAGAGTCCGCAAGCTGAACGCGTATCCAGGCCCGCTCCCTGTCTGTCAGCCTCCTGTTGCCGTTGCCTGAGTTGAGCTTGGAGCGGTTGGAGATCCTCATCTTGCATCCCGTGCAGAAGTCCCAAAGAGCGCACTGGTTCCCCGAGCTGGAGATCCTCCAGGGCGGGTGAGCACACTTGGTCGAGGCCTTGGTCCCCGTCTCCTGGAGCAGCCTCGGATCCTCGAGCAGCCGCTTCTTGTAGCTCTTCGTGTCGAACAGCCTCTTGTCCCTGACGACCCTGGCGACTATCGCCTGTGTCTCGTTGAAGTAGATGCCCACCGAGACCAGGAGGGAGGTCCAGAGGCCGACCGTCGACCGAGACTCCTTCTCGGCCTTGGCACGCTTGAGCACCATCGGCCGGTGCCCCAGTACTGCGGTACGTAGATATCTTACAACAATTGCGCCTGCCAGAGGATCTGGCAGAGGATGAGAAAGATGATGATAGGTGGGATGAGAGATGACGACTCGCCTTTTCAATACACTTGAAGTATTTACAGTACTGTGCCAGGTGACCAGGCGGCTCGAACTGACTCTCAAGACCCTGCCAGTCATTCAACTTGATGGTGCGACGGCTCCGGCCCGACTTCTCAATGGGAATCGTGCAACCGATCTTCTTGAGCGTGAGCTGATCCCGAGGATAGTCCAAGATTGCCCCAAACTGGTCCAGAAAGGATCCGGGCAATAGAGGCGGCAGGTTCTCCTCTGCAACTACAAACTCGATCACGCCAGACTTGCCACCCATCGCCACTGGAATCATCACCACCCCTAGTAGAGTCGCCTGTTCACCGATCCCTCTCGGCGGACTGGCAGGCTTGTCCACCCAGACTGGGGACAGACCTCGAACTCGCAGGTCCTCGGCCAGTCGGCCCAGGTGGTCCTTGCCGATGATCGCCTGAGAGGCCCCGCTGTCCACGATGACCTGGCCGTCCTCGAGCATGATGAATGTGAGTACCTTGGTGCTGCTCAGACTCGCGTCGGGCTCCTCCTCAAACTGGAAGCGCAGCTCCCTCAAGGCCTTCTCGCCCAGCAGCGTGATCCAGGTGTTGGCTGGAGCTTCCTCGCTCAGCACCGCGAAAGAGAAGCCGCTGCCGTCGTGCGAGAACGCGGTGCCGCCAGAGCCTGAGCCACCCTTGGAGCCGCCCTTGGCACCACGCTGACGGGTGCCCTTCGGCTTCGCAGGGTTCTTGCACTCAGCGTGCCAGTGCCCGGTCTCGCCGCAGTTGCCGCACTTCGTGACCAGCTTCAGTTGGGCCGGGGTGGGTCGACGCCGTCGCTTCCAGAATCCTCGATCCTTCTTCACGGCGTTCTTCAGGTCCTTGCTCTCATTCCAAGTCTTCTGGCGGCCCTTGCCCATCTGCGCTAGCGTCTCCGTCACCTCGTCCTCGCACAGCTCCCGGCCGCTGAGCTCCACGAGGAGGTTGAGTTCATCGTCGGTGTCCAGGTCGTCAGCCCACCACGACCATGCTTGCTCTGTCTGATCGACGATGCCTCCCGCGGGCTCGCTGCTGGACCTGGCGTCGCAGTCCTCGAGCAGTGCGGCGCGTGACTTGCTGTCGTCTCCCCAGACCAGACCGCCAGTGTCGAGCCGCGGGAGAGCCCACATGATGTCTGGACCCAGCAGTGATCCCCGAGTGAGGCTCCGAACATGCTGCTTGCCCTGAGCCGAGAGTCGAGCACCCTGCAGGAGGAGCATGCCCTGCCCCTTGGGCGGTATCTCCATGCCAATCTCCTTGGCCCTCTCGAACTGTCTGCGTCGTCGGGTGACGAAGGCCAGAAGATCCTCATCCTTCTTCCTCTCAACGTCCTTGGTGGCGTCGTTGCCAGCCCTGAACACTTCATCGTCCTCTCTCTCTCTCTCTTTCTCTCTCTCTCTCTCTCTCTCTCTCCTGCTTCCTGCCCGAGGTGGTGCACAATCTTCTCAACAGAGAGGTCCTGCTCTGGAATGTAATGTAGCTTGGCTCTCAGGTCCCACGGCAACTCCTCCAGTAGTCGGTCGGTGCACTGAGCCTCGGAGAGCCAGGAGTTGCGGCGCCACCTCCGAACATACTGTTTCCACAACCTGAACTTGTCCCAGCCTGGCCAGGAAGGTGCTGGTCTGGTATGCTGACGCTCGCTCCAGTGGGTACTCCAGTCCCAGCTGCCCGAGTGCCACGTGCTGCCCTGCCATAGTTTCCAGGGCTCGGTCTTCCACTGGTCTGTAGTGGGAGGTGCTTCACACTGGCCGACCGCCGTAGTCGTCCTCATCGATGGTGGTACGTTATCCTCAGCCATGGTGAACTCCGTCGTCAAGGTCGGTGGTCGCGAGCCTTTTCCCAGCCCCGCGAGCCCCAGGCGGACGCCCAGTTGTCGTCGCTCTTCTGTTCGTCCGCGCCCCTCTCGTACCATGTGTACGTCGGCGCGGGCGGCTCAGTCTTCTGCTCCTGGATGTCGGGTGCGGCCTGCTCTGGTGGGGGACATCCTGGCGTGGCCCCAGCTCCCACTGCTGCCGCTGCCGCCTCGGCGGAGGGTCGCAGCAGCTCGGCCACTCTGCCTGCTATGAGATCTAGATCTTCTCTCGCAAGCCTCTCTGTCATGCTTCCAAGCTGTCAGTGTCTATCTTCGCACCCTCGTCGTCCGTTCAGCTCCCAGGTCCGTGGATCGATGGGCCCGCTAGCTGCTCGTGGCGTCACCTGGTGTCGCCGCAGCCTGCGGCCCGGAATCCCGCTCCGCTGCCACTGTTGGCACGCGGGGGTCGGGCGGACAATCGCGAAACACTGCACTGTATGCTTTTCCCGCGCAAACAGTATGGCTTGAGCCATCACGGTTGCAGCGATGGCACGCACAACAAGACAGACGTGGGAGAAACGGAAAGACACAGAGGCAGGTAGAAAAGGGCATGGATAGAAGGCAGGCAAGGAGCATGAGCTGGATCATGTGCCAACAGTTGTCTGACGACATACCAGCGCGGCAGGCCAGCATGGCAGACCACAGGAGCAGAGTAGAGGACAGCAGCACGGCAGACCAGCACGGCAGACCAGCAAGGCAGACCAGCACGGCAGACCACACGAGCATAGCTGACCAGCACGGCAGACCAGCACAGCAGACCAGCACGGCAGACCAGCACTTCGTAGCCATTTTGGCTCAAGGCCATGGAGCACCCGACGACCGCGAGTCGTCCGCGGCGCTCTGAGCGCGAGGGGCTCCTCGCTTTGGGCCAAGTGAAGCTTCTGCTTCGCTGCCTCTTCCTGAAGTGTTTTGGCGCGGCTCGTACTGCGCGGCAGATGTTATGGCCTGCTCGGTCTCCCGCGGCAGGAGCGGCGGCGGCAAGTGCTGGATGTGCAGCGGGTGCCGCGGCTGGAACTGGGACTGGCGAGCCCGGTGCATGGTCTGCCGGTCGGCAGCGCCGCCGTGGGCCAAGGGCAGCGGGCAGGCCATGCGCGCGGCGCCGGCGGCCCCTCAGCCCAAGGCCGACGTCGATGGCTGGGTGGAGCAACCGCGGGGGCGCCGAGCCCGCCAGGCGCTCGGGGCAGCCAGGGCGCCGTCCCAGGCATCGGGGGCCAGCAGTCGCAGCAAGGCCAGCGCTGGGACAGGCGCAGGGAAGGGCAGCCCGCCTCCGTCCAGCAGCGGGCCCTCGCAGGTCGAGCGGCTCCAGGCGGCCGTCGAGCAGCTGGAGGCCCTCCACGCGGCACCGCCAGAGGGCGTGGCCAGCTGCTTCACCGAGGCGGTGGCCAGCCAGCTCGAGGTCAAGCGCGGCGAGCTGGAGCAGGCCTACCAGGCAGCGGCCGAGGTCAAGTCAGCAGCGCTGCCGAGGGCGGCACGCATGCGCGAGGAGGCCTGGGCAGCAAGGCGAGCCGAGAGGAAGCTCAACGCCGCCCGCAGGGCCGTGGAGGAGAAGCGCGAGGCCCGGGACGCAGCGGAGGACCACCTCCAGCACGCGCAGGAGAAGCTCGCGATCCTCGACAACGAGCTGGAGGTGGCCATCCGCGACCTCAGAGTCCTTAAGGACGAGGCGCGCGACGCCGAGGGTTTAGGGTTTAGGGCTTTCAGGGTTTAGGGTGTACGGTCCACTAGCTCAACCCGAAGCCTCCTGGATGTATCCCACCCACCCATGACCATAGACATACAGAACTCATCATCGTCGTCGTCGATCGTCGTCGTCCGTCGGCAGCGTTCAGCGCATGGCCGCAGCGTTCGGGTATAGATACTAGCCGCCATGCCTCGCTATGAATTAGCTAATAACTTTGGAATTATGAATATCTTACGTTGCCGCTCCCTGTCCGCTCGCCTGCGGCGCAGGGCCTACGGGGAACCCCTTGCCCGCTCGCACGGTGCACAATCCCGGAGCAGGACGGCACCGCGCCAAGGGGGCTGCGCACGGCATTGTATGATTTGTCGAGAATCGTGCAAGTCTAGGAATTAACCGCCATGGCGGGACGTGCACCGCAGAGTACTATTTGACAGGGATCGTGCGAGTTTAGGAAGTAGCCGCCATAGCGGGATGCGCACCGCATGGTATTACTTGACAGGGATCGTGCGAGTTTAGGAATTAGCCGCCATGGAGGGATGTGCACCGCATGGTATTATTTGACAGGGATCGTGAGAGTTTAGAAACTAGCCGCCATGGCGGGATGTGCACGGCATGGTATTATTGGACAGGGATCGTGC